ATAATTTTGAAATTTACATATTTTTTATCTTACACCCCCCCACGTATACACATATAAAGGGTATAAGAGAACTGATAATAGCAACTCTAAAGCGGGATAAAATATGGCATAAATAACAATTTTTATAATACAATACGTGGTGAAATGTGAACGGGAAAACGATGCTAATATGCAGATCTTAAAGAATAAAAATCGTTTTAAATATAGATATTTACAAGATGATGACATTTACATAAACTGTTCACATGAGCGACCACCAACTGCAATTTATGTATCGCAGCGACGACGGGTCTTCCTTACGAGACGCAAGTAGAATCTTGTGGAGATCGTCTCCCCAGAATTAGTGTTGTTGCTGCAGAGGTAAGTGTCATGGCAGCATCTTTCAAAACGTAGATCGTCGTCGTTGTGCCTGTATAGCAGTTGATTGTTGTTTACTTGAATATATCTTGTAAATATCAAGCATTACATTATTATACATATTTGTAAACATCCGTGATTAAAATGACTTTGGGCTTAATGTTCTTTGTACATATTGTTTGTATTTACATCGCTCCTCAACACCGTATGCTTTTTTCATGTTCTGTCACTTTTTAAAACTGTCATCATTACATACTGCATATAATATATTATTTCACTTAATTGCTGTTACTTTTGTGCGAAATGTATATTGTAATTAACTATCTATATATATATATAAGCGGCTAAAGTGTGTGTCGCGGATAGTTTATTGTTGCCAATCGGAAAAATGAGAGCTGAAATTAACGTTTCCGCAGTTTTTAATTAATATATCGGCCGATTAAAGTCGTACGAAGATGAGAACGGTATCGATGGATTCGGAGAATTTTTCGGAATCCGAGGATAGGCGTTCCGAATTTCAACTCGGCGCCGTTCCGTAGATATTCGAGGAAAAAGAATTTGGCACGTAGCCAAATCCCTGTAATATTGAAAACCCAAGAAAGAAATTGGAAAATGTAGGGAAAACGTAGGGGAAAATTAGTTTTTAATTAATATCCCGACTAATTAAAGTCCCAAGAAGACGCGAATGGTCAAAATGGCGTGCCACGTACCTGCAGAATCCAACGGTGTGCTTCACTAAGCCCGGGAGCCAGCCGTTTCGGAGGAGATGATGTTACTTCACCCCATATATATATGCGGCGTAAGTGTCTGTTTGTCGCCGATAGTTTATTGGTTGCTTGCGTAACTGTACTAGCCAATGGGGGAAGTTGTCACGGCACAGGGTTGTCGTTTCAATTGAGACGTAGACAATTTCCTGCAAAACTTGCCTTTGCTATGATCATCCATAAATCTCAGGGCCAAACGCTTAAGCCTGTTGGCATTTTTTTACCTGCATTTGGACACGATCAACTTTATGTTGCCTGTTCAAGACTTCGTGAAAGAACGGACGTAAAATTAAAAATAATGGATGGTCCTCTGCAAGGCGAGCTTAAAAATGATGGAAAGATCTACGAAAGAAATGTTGTGTACAAAGAGATCTTTGACATGTGAATTAACATTTCATTATTTAAATCACCTTTATTTTTTGAGCTAGCGGCGGGCGCTTAAGAAATGTACCGCCAGTTGTTTCCTTCATTGCACTCTACTTTAAGCAATTAAGCAAGTAGAAGGGGGAAACTCCTTGGGACAGTAAGCAAATGGGCGTCCTCGCCGCCTGCCCTGGGTAATTCAGTTTAAATTAGCACACACCTTTGCACAAAATCATTTTAATTACAATTTATAATATCTAGAACAGCAGCCATTTCGTATGACCGCCAGGCTTTCTAGTTAAATGAATAAGATGACTATTAACAGAAGCATAAAAACACGGAAAGTCATTAATGTTTATTTAATTAACTGTGAAATGTTAATTCACAGTTTTGGAATAAAAGTAATTTTTTCTTTTTCTCCCTCAGAGAATCAAGCTCACTTTCAAGGACTTCGACCTTGATCCTTCTGATGGTTGCAGACAAGATAAATTGATAGTGTACAGCCAAGACAAAAGGAGTTTTATAGGAATGTTCTGCGTATCGCAGATCTCTCGTCCTCTTCTTTCCTTGAGAGGAGAGAATGAAATTCGATTCTTTTTGATTACATGAAGGGAGGAAAAGATTTCCTCGTGGAATACGAAAGTTCTCCTTACCTTGGTGAGTGAAGTGTATTTAAGGCAATATATATGGCTGAACAAGTTCTAATATAAGACACAATAACACGCCGAATAAATACTAATTCAGAAGTCAAACAACAAAAATCAGCGTTATACCTACAAAATTGGAAGTTCTAATATCTTCCTTTACTAGGAACTGGTCAAGCTAAGTTGTTGGTTATCAGTTATTAGAAAGACTAGAATGCTTAACCCTTTCGCCATCCTCTCCTGTCCGGGAAAATTTTCCCCCAGCAGCCGTCTGTTTTTCGTAGCATGTAATGTTGTTTTCTCTGTACATCATACTTTCCACACATGACATTCGCAGTGGATGAATGTCAATGAATATTAAGTAAAATTATAAGGAAATAAAGCATAATGGAAAAATAATAATGTCTCTGCTTATTTCTAACAGAAGGATAATTTGATAACATCTGATCCAGGCGGTCCACTTGAACGCGCTTAAGAACGCTTGAGGCGCGTTAGGGCCGCTCTGCAAAAGTTTTACTTGAACGCGCTAGACGCGTTACGGAAGAGGAAGAGGTTAATTTCTTATTCATCCCTTTCGTTCTGAATAGGATAGGTGCATAAATAGTCATCCGCCACTTTTAAAATCACGGTATGGTAAAAATGTTTGTTCGTAGACAAATACACACACAAGTTTTACTCCGCATGGATCAGGGATGGCCCAAGAGTCAGTCGCGAAGCAATTTTTGTTCGATTCTAGGCTACAGGAGACGATTTCAACACGCAAAAACAACAAAATCTTGACTCGTAGAAACTAATGGTCGTTGCGCCTTTAGTACCACAGCTGGCACTTAACTCAACACAAACCAGTCCATATACAGGGCGTTTATAAAGTCCCGGACGCATTTTGATGTTTAATAACTTATAAAATAATAAAGATAGATTAAAATTAATGGCATAAATGGTTAGATAGACTCAAAAAGTTTCATGACCCTTGTCTTGCCGCTGCTCTCACAGATCTTCTAGGATTGTGTAAAAATGTCTCTCTGACACGCTCAACATCAAAATCACTTGTGCAGGGACGTCCGGAACGTTTCTTAGCTGCGATACTTCCAGTTTCTAGAAAGTTCTTTTTCCACCGCAAGATGCTGCTTTTGGATGGAGGATCTTTTTGGTAAATTCTTCTGCAATTTCTCTGTGTTTGCATTATGGATTTCGTTTCTATGAACCACCATAAAATATGTGCTTTCACTTGTGGTGTATGCATTCTCCTTAATATCCGGTCGAATAAAACATCACATACAAAAGTACTAGAACAAACACATCAAAAGTAAACATAACATTGCAATAGTTGCCAAAAACAAAAGAGAGAAAAATGCAATTAATAAGCAGACGATATTTAGGAAAGTACAGATATTTAGATTGGAAAATGAAATTATCTGAAATTAACCACACGCGCAGACGATATTTACAAAAGTACAGATATTCAAACCTGAAAAGGCAAAAATATAGGTTATTCCATCAATAAATGCCGTAAGTTTGTTTATATCTATCTTAATTATTTTATGAGTTATTGAACATCAAAATGGGTCCAGGACTTTATAAACACCCCGTATATTACGAGTTTATGCTGTAAAAACACTTAGCTCTATAAACACTTCAATGATTTCAGTATGCGAATGGGTCGTGACAGGAATCTTATTCGTAAGAAGGGGAAAAAAAAAAAACTGTGATTTCGAGCAAAAGCAATGTATGCCATAGGCTTAATATTAAGAACGTAAAATAAAAATCCGATTGGAATGCCTTCTGAACATTTTTAGAGCAATAAAAAAATCAGGGCTCTTTTTTACAGAAATTACTACAGTTATATTGTAAGGAATTTACTCCTTCCTTGCTGCTTGCCTTCGTGTTGCTAATTGAAAACACGTTCGACTGGCATTCGGAAAGTCCAGGTTTCCATTCCAGGCAATGGCACTGCACATATTTCAAATATCTAATGATTCTTCTGTGGCATCCAAACTAAAATGTAATGGATGACAATTCGTCATCATTAGGATCCGGGGATTGGACCTCCGCCTCCCCTCACGAATTTTAAGTGGAGAAGAATGTAAGGTATTTTCTCCTTCCTTTAGCGCGTACTTTTGTCTGAATCACGGAGAAGGCATCGCTGATTTTCTCCTTCCAAAAATTTCTAAATAATAGTAGCACAGAACGAAATATGGCGGCTGATGGTTACTACACTTGAACTGGTAATTAGGTCTCTTACCTTCCTTGGCGCTCTTTGTGTGGAGGAGAATATGAGGAATTTTCTCCTATTTTACTGCTCTCCTTCGAGGTGTGATTGAATCGCACGTCCGTCTGACATTCGGGAGGAGGGGAGTTCTAATCCATTGCGAGTGTATTGCTCATTTTTCATGTTTCCTGATCCTCCACAAATCTTAATGACTTTACAATATGTACCTTAAATATTAAATATGCGCAAGAATTAGTCATTGGTAGGCCACGAATAATGTATTTATTTATTAAATTGGTTGATGCGTGATAAAGTACTGAATTTGATATTAATTGACTTTAATAAAATGAAAATTTATTTATAATTTCTTTAGAATAATAATACTGAAGTTACATTTTTACTATTTTAGGAAATACTAATAATTTGTATCGATAGAAATTTTACGAACCTGTTTTGTTTAGGGCCATTATATTCTGCATCGAGCTTATTAAGAGAAATGAAAAGATATTCATAAATATTTTACAGCCTATATGCGTTGTAGCAATGAAAAATCATCTTCTCTTTTCCATTTCCTCTGCAATTCATAAACTTGATTGTGAATACTTTTCTTTCTTTCCTTTTAAAGGCTGAATGCATGCAGGTGAAGATTTTCTCTACACCCAAGAGAAATTTGAGAGCGCTATCATCTGGGAAGATAAAATTTTGTTTGCTTACTAATGTAAAGACATACGCAGGCCAGCCGAAGTTAAGACGGGCTGCAAACATGTTAGAGATGAGGTGGGTTTTTCTGGCTGTCGCTCTCTTCGGAGCTTTCGCAGGTAGTTTCTGATTTTTTTATACGGTTATTTTCCTGTTTTGACTTCAATACTCCACATTTAAAACATGAAAATTTTTACACAATTTAATTTCACTTCTTACTTTGCTTATATCAAATCCAGAAAATGTTTTTTTAAGATCTTTATTAACAGGTCCGACATTTAAAAAAAATTTCACACATTAACAATATTTCGCATAAAAATGAGACAACTGGATTGGTTAAGTATAAGTGAATAAAAATAAATAGGCAAAATTCTGAATTTGTCTGGATTCTTTACCTACATTAGCTGCGAGAGCCATCTGTAAAATATCATTTCATTAAAAAAAATCTAAGAACTAACTATTATACTTTGTTTACTATTTTAATTTAGGATTCTCATATCAGTAGAAGAAAAACTCCTCTATATAAGTGTAATAAAAATACTCGTACATCAAAAGCAACGTTTTATCAAGTTTTAAAACAATATTGTTACGAATTTTGTATTTATATAGCTAATTTTTGTAAAATTATAATTAAAATTGTTTCATTTCCCCGTGCAATGCAATGCGACACAAAGTTTAAGAGAAAGCTATGCCGGAAAAGTAAAAATATAGGAGCACGTGCATTTAACGTTTAGTAAATAGATATCTTGGTAATTTGTACTGATATTGAATAAATGTAATTGACCACTATGTTAGCTGTACCCGTAATTCCATCCTCGTTTTGCTTTCCAGAAATCTAGAGAAGCAGAATTTGCTAGAAAGATCTCTCGCGGCCGATTAAAAACTATTTAAAGCCGGAGACAGGCATCTCAGCGCAGTTGTTTTGTTAGTTACTTAGTTACTGTTACTGCCATTTGTTTAGTTCCGTGGGAACTGAGATATCTGAATTAGCTTTCTCTTAAAATACGCTGTGCATTGCGTTCTATTTATTGTCGTTAGTAGCTTGAAGTATAACTACCGATTATTAGTGCGTGATATTTAGAACACTTGTACGAATATGAAAATTCCAGAGTTCTGATATATTTCTTTTGATAAGACTAAATTTTATTAACCTATTATCGGACTTGTGCTTTCAATCTATTACAAACCCGAACGAACGTAACAATATCTTTGGATAAGATAATATTATTTCATAGCATTGGATAAACAGAGGTTTAAAAAAATCGAGAAACCAGAAATTCTATTCTTCAGTTTTCACCAAAACTGAAGATAACCTTTTCATACTATAACATCTGGTATTCTTCCCTATCATAAAATATATACGACGCTGGAAGACTGCTTCGTGAATTGTCGCTAGGCCTTTTTAAATAATAAAGGCGTATAGAACCATTTCTTATCTCAATTACAGTTCGACAGTCTGCACCAACTCGTGTTTACAGAAGCCAACGCTTTTCGCTTAAATATAAAAGGTAATAACTTGAAATTGATGAAATTTAAGTGTAGCCTAACGTCTTCTTCAGTTTACAGAAGCCAACGCTTTTCGCTTAAATATAAAAGGTAATAACTTGAAATGGATGAAATTTAAGTGTAGCCTAACGTCTTCCTCAGTTTAAGTATCGCGCAAGCTGGCTGTAACCGAAGTTGGCGTAAACAAGCCTAATGGCAAGAATAACTCAACGCCGTAGAATTCTAATGACTAAAGAATCAAAGTTAGCAACGTGGCCTTGCAGCAGGCAGAACACGCCCTAATTCCACCTTCCAAAACCTCCCTTTAACTACTTCCTTCTTCCTACCTAATCTGAATATCGTGCTTTCTGGAAATTTGCATTAAGGCAGGGAAATGAAATGAGGTTTGAGAGTAAAAGTACTTAAAATAAATGGTTAAATTAAATGATACTCTACAATACAATTTAAGAAGCTCTAGAATAGAAATCTTGTACTAAGAGCCTCGATAAAATAAGAAATAAAAATTAAAATATGTTAAAAAACAGGGGCAAGAATTTACCGTACTTAACTGAAGGCAAAAGATGACTAAGAATGAAAAGATGAAGGAAGATTTCATTTCTAACGGTACAAATCCTCTCAGACCGATAAACGAGTTCTCTGGCTTTCTAATAAATAAAAATCTGATATATTCACTCTATGACTTCCTCGTACGCATTTTTTCTTGCATTTCATTAAAACTCATTTCCTCGAGTTTCATTAGAGATATATTTCTCATTCAATTAATTCAGTTCACACTTCGCTACAAGGCAAAAATACGTAATATACTCAAAATATCCATATTAAAAATTGAAAAATATAGAAAAACATAAAACACCAAATACAGTTAAAATAATTAAAAATCAATTTTTACAACTAAAATTACAGTCTCTACTCAAAAACAAGCAATTCGATCAGCGGGTAGAAGAAGGGAGATTTTTCGGTGCAAAAAAACTGAAAGGTTGCGTTGGTCCCACTCGGGAAAAAGACACCGAAGGCGCACAAACTGAATTCACTATTCTGCTAAGTTTCAAATGAAAAAAATATGGCTATCATTGTAAAACAAATAATAGGCTTAGCCGCACTTAAAGAACTTTTAAATTATTGATAATTCTACAACTATTGCATGCATAAAAGGCATAAAAAACCTTAACCGGAAGATAAGAACAATATAATTGAATCATTTTTAAAGCAAAAGATGAACAATTTACCAACATATAAGAATTAAAAAAAAAAAAAAAAAAAAAAAAAACTCATGCTGCTTAGGTAGTATAATAAGTAAACAAATAAATAATAATAATATATATAATATATAATTATATACTTTCGGTGTGGTTTATTATAAACAAAAAGGAGGTGCACAACTGCATGTTATTGCAGTCCTAAATATCAAATTTTAACATTCTAAAGATACGCGTTTTTGAGTTATGTGAGATACATACACACGTACGTACATACAGATATCCCGAAAAAATCTCTTTCTGGATCTATTTCAAATCCTTTTTGCGACCCGTTTTGGGAAAAAGTGTCCTTTATTCTGTTTACACGTACAGATGCCACGGAAAAACATCGTTAAACTGCATTCGATAGCGGCCAAAATGGATATTTTCTTTGAAATATGATATCCAAAAATTTTCGTAATTACAATACACAGTAAAAATAACACAAGTAAGTAAAAAACCTGTAAATAAATTATTTAAACCATGGGTGTCTAATGTACGGCCTAAAAGCAAATTATGAAAACATTTAAATGCACATATTTTTATTAAAATATAAATGCTTGGATTTGATTCATATATAACCAATTCATTAACATTTATTTTAAAATAAAAACTTAGATAAAGATACATTAGTATGTCATTATGTATTAACTGCAAAGTGACATTGAACTAAAAGAAAAATTTGAAAATGTTTCTTTACTGGAGTTTTATAAAGATTACCTACCCCACGATAAATATCGTAATTTTCACAATCATTCTTTATTCAGCTTTTGGCAGTACCTATATTTGGGAACACTTATTTTCAAGAATGAAGCATACAAAAAGCAAACATAGGACAAATATCACTGACAGCATCTTGAAAACCATATAAGATTGCAACCTTCTATGAACCGAATCGATTGCTAGTTCAAAAAAGCAAAATCATAATAGAACCCTTTGAGATTTTAGGCTTTGTTCATGAAGGACTATTGTTTCGTTTTGCGATTTTGGTTGAATAACATAAAATGTCTTTCACTTTTCAAACTGTTGCCCAATTAGGTCCCATTATATTTGAAAGAATTAATCATGAAAAATCTGCATACATGTATGTATATTTTGCGCATTGTAAAAACGGTACCTAGAGCCATCGATTTTGATACGTAATCCACTGCGAATAGGGGCATTTGGAGCTCAAATTGAAATTTGGAATTGTTTTATTATCGATTTCATATTTCGTTAAACTTTAACGAATTTTTGATTAACAAACTCAAGGATTTCCAAGCGAGCAATGTCAACACTCTACAGAGGGGGGAGGGGACCTTTTTATCTCCAGCGGGCGCGGAACTGTGTATCGGAAATTCTAAAGATGGGCTCGTTTTAAAATTATTTTGCGACATTGCTACTAAACTGAATTTTATGGTTTAATTACAAATTACATGATATTTAATAAATAAAGGCAACACACAAAACGTGCAAAAAAACGCCCCTTTGGACGTAATTTAAAATCTGAACCTTTCAGGTTTCTTTGGAGTGGGGGGGCTTGTTTAAATGTTTATTTACTCATACTCGGAGCCTGTTTTCTAGAGGGTGTTGTAATTGCAATATGATTTTAATTTATATATTGTTGAATAGCAGTTATAAACCGAGACACAAATGCCTTTGTTTACTATTGGAATTGGGTGTGGTTCCTTTTGACTTATAAAACAAGCTCTGCTCTTGAGGCGGGCCGGGCTAAGCCCAGATTTTGAGTCTCATACGTAGACTCCCTCGCCAGCTTACTAGCATATATATCAAAGGGAATGCTTCTGTACAAAAAGTAAACTGGCTTGCCAAGAATTAATTCGGATCAAACTTAAGCCTAGGAAAAGTTCGTACGCGTGTGTTTCGACGTCATTCTCATCCACTATTGAAAGCAGTTGACCGGTTAGTATGTAAGTACTTAAAATTTGATAAAATCTTTGTTGATCTCTTATGTAAATGATTTCTTGTTCCTTTTCAAAGGTTTTATTTTTCTTTTAATAATTATTATATTATTCAATGGTTTTATTTCTTTATTGTATCATTTCAATGGTATTTTCTTCTATCACCATTTCTTTTGCTAGCTTCCGAAGACATAGATACGGAAGACTTCCAGTGCTCCGAATTATACGACTACGATGCTTCTACGAAAGGAACATTATCGAGCCCGTTCTACGGAAAGAGACCCGTCTACCATAATGGGTTATGGTGTGAGTATAGATTAAGAGCACCAGACGGTTACGTAAGTTTCTAATAATACTTTACAAATTTTGGATTGAAAATAAATGATATTTTTAAGTCGCTTTGAGTCCGTTATCTCACGGTTTGCCTTACATGTAGTGAATTGTACCCCGACGTACGACATTTGCGGGAATATTTGCGTCTGTTTTTCAAAAAACGTTTCAGCTGCGGGAGCTGTTAACAATTATAGATTAATATATGACTGTATGCTGTTATTTTAGAACCCTGAGAATTAAACAAGTTTTTCGGGTGCATTTCAGAGTAAAATTCGTAATTTATTAAAACTTCCATAAGGGATATTTCTATATATACTCTAAATAAATTTAGATTAAAGTAGCAGATATCCGAGAGATTTAACGTAATATAGTAATTAGATCCTGCTATAACCGTCATCGGCACAAAATTATTCCATTCCTCAAAAGATTTACAGAAACGTTACAAAAGTAATGCTTCCATTTCGCTTAAAAGCCTACCATCGCCGAGCGGTAAAAGTCGCTGAACACTGGTAGTTCGGCCTAGAGTTCGAATCATGTCGAAGGGGCTGGCAGCATTAGAGTTTATAACGAGCTAGGTTTCTTTAGAAAGTGGTCCACGAAGGTATCCATCCTTAGGCAGATTGTCCTCGCTTTGCCATAATCAAACATACCAAACCAACCAACCAGCAATTTCCCCAACAAACCTTACTAATTTCTCAGATGAATTTTCATTTCCTCTTGACTTATAGCTTTAAATTATAACAAATAATAATAAAATATAAAACTAAAATATTGAATATTACAATCAAATTGAAATCTACAAAAAGGTTAGGTTAGGTTATTTAATTACGGCAAAGCCTCGAGGGCTATCTGCCTAAGGGGAGAGATGCCTTCGTGGAGGACTTTCTAAGGGAAACTGTCCCGTATACACGTTGCACAGGGAAAAACCACGAAAACACCCATGCAGCCAGCCCGTTCGCGGGATTCGAACCTCGGACCGAACTACCCAGTGTTCAGAGATTTTACCGCTCGGCCGCTGGTGGGCTCCTGCAAAACAAAGAGAGCAATGGTTTGGTTCCTTGCCTATACAACAGTAATGAAATCTTTATCAGTCCCGACTATTAGAAAATGAAACCCTACAGAGGTAGCTTCAGTAAAAATATTCGCTCCCCAAGACGTAGCATAAAAAAGACAAGATCAGATGTAGAAAGAAAATTGGATCCATGCTTAGCTATTAAACCAGTTTAGCGAGTTAGATTAAGTAGTGAAAGCTCTCTTTCTATACTTAGGGCCCACCAGCGGGCGAGTGGTAAAGTCGCTGAACACTGGTAGTTTGGTCCGAGGTTCGAATCCCTAGAACGGATCGGTTGCATGGGTGCTTTCGTGGCTTTCCTCATGTGTTACGTACATGCCAGCCAGTTTCCCTTAGAAAGTCCTCTCGGAAGGCATCCCCCCATCAATTACTGGTGCAAGACTTAGAAAATTAAGCTCAGCCGTGCTCTAAATGTTGTATTGGCTCTAATTCGATACAAAACAAGATTAAGAGGCAATACTGATATCACTTAGATAGAACCTAATCCCTTTAGCTAACTCCTACAAATTTTAGGTGTTTACATAGATAAGTCTCTCAACTTCAAAGATCATAATTTCTTACATCTTAACAAAGCAAATGCAGCCTGAATGGCAAATTTATCCTATTATCGGCAAAAAATCAAAGCTCAGTCTAAAATAAGAAATGCTTTACATGTCTCTAATTCGACCGATCATGCTATATGCATGCCGGCCCTGGGCAATCGCCAGTAAACTGAGCGCAAAAAACTGGATATATTTCAAAATAAAATTCTACGTAGCATTGGGAATGCACCTTGGTACGTGAGCAATTCCAAAATTCATAACGACCTGGATATTCCATCTGTGCATAACTTTATACTCATGACAGCTCATAACTTCTTTGAGAAGATGAAACATAGTCAGTATAACGCAATTAAACAAATGTTGGATTATGATCCAACCATTGAATACACTGTCAAACGCCCAAGGACAATTAATCACAATTCGTCACGGTGGTAACTTGCAAATTTGAATTTTAAAATTTACTTGAACTCTGAATATTTTTCGCACTGACCACAGGTAATTAATTTAATTAATTACACATTAGCAGGTAATTAACTTTGCTTAATTTTCTCCGATAGAGAACTTGGACTCTATCCCATTATTTGTGTTGTATCTTATACTTATGTTAATCAAGAAACTTTTTTTATTCAAGTTTTTTATGTTACTATTTTCATTTTTCAATTATTTTGTATGAATTTTTACTTTTCGTATGATTCTACGAACTTTTGAACTTTTTACGGCCTATCTAGCTACTGCATACTTTGAAGGACTTTGAACTCTTATGCCATTCACAGCTTCAAACTGTCTTCGCGCCATTTTCATGATGTCTCACTACTGCTTATCCTGCACTCTTACTAGCTATATTGCACTCACTGCATTTGTCATATAACTCACTGCACCTGCATGCATGCTTCAATTTAATGTCATTGCTTATTACTGCACAATTTTTACGATGAACGCCTACTTTCGTAAGTATTAGATGTGCCTGCTCAGGCAGCTGAATTTTCTTCGCCCACGGGTGTTGGTACTTCTCTAGTACCATTTGTTTGGAAACATCTTTGCCTAGTGCACTTTAATGCGATCTACAGGCGAAAACTCTTTAGTAGTTAATGACCAGATAAAAGTAAGTCATAAAGGCATCCCTCCCCTTAGGCAGATAGCCTTCGAGGGTATGCCGTAATCACATAAACGAAACTAAACAAAACTTTCTGTACTCAGATTGTTGCGCTTATTTAAACTCATTTCACTTGTATTTTTGGTGAACAAGAGGGAACATTAAAAGTGTAGGAAAGATTCAACATAAAAAGTAACATGATAATTAAAATAAACCTTATAGTTAGTACTAATGGTTAGATAATTTTTTCGTCAGTTAATTTTCAGGCAAAGCTTCTCTGTTTCAGATAATTAAGCTCACCTTCAAGGACTTGGACATCGATCCTTCAACTAGCTGTACCCAAGATAGGCTGATAGTATACGGCAAGGACGAGTCGAGTATTTTGGCTCAGCTCTGCGGATCTCAGCTGCCTCCACCTATCCTGTCCAATTTTGGGGAAAGCGAAATTCGATTTTTGTTCGAGACGGATTATATGAAGGGAGGAAGAGGTTTCCTTATAGAATACGAAAGCTCTCCTTACATGAGTGAGTTAATTCAGTTGAAAATTTCATGTATGCTAAAATAGGCTACTTTTCTTACATCGGAACGATTCATAAATCATTATTTATAGTTAAATTGATATTTATCGTAAATAAATCTTCATTAAAAGTATCAAGATTTGAGAAATAAATTTATGCTCTTATTTGATGTATCTTTTGGCCAATGGTTTTGCACCGCTGTCTTTATGTTATGTAATACCAAAAAATTAGAAATGTCAAATAATAACACTCGAGGTAAAATTGTGCAGAGTTCTGCATTGTCTAGAAGATAATCTTAATGTTTTGCAAGAATCGAAAGCGAGTTATCAAGCAAATGATCAAGTCTTAAAAAAGCTAATATAACCTTATAACTTTTCGCATTCAACTCTTTAACCCTTTTCGGCACGCTACCTTTTAAAGTCGGAATTTTGATTAAAAAAAAGTAGGCAGTCTAATTAGGCCTAGAGGAGTACACAAGTCAAATTTTGTGAAGATAGCACTTATCGTTTTAATTCTGTGTATGTACCCAAAGTGGGCACACTGATTGAATAGAGCTTCGAAAAGAGTCTGAAACGAGCATTGTTGTCAATGAACTGACCGATGAGATGTGGAGAAACAAAGAATACAGACTCTCAGTTGTCCTAGATTATCGGTGAGCTGCTCTGGGCACACCTAGGGTTCGCCGTTTGATTTTAGGCAAGATTTCAAGGTAAAAATGTAAAACTAATATAGAATAAGGAGATTAGCATACAGCCCAAAAAAAAACATAAATTTTTTTTTTCAAACATTTCCTTTTATACCCTAAAAAAAATCTGGAAGATTTCTTTGAAAAATGAGGGTCTTAAAAAACTAAACGAGGCTAAAATATATGGACTGGTTTGTGTTGAGCTGCCATATACTATAAATGAAGAAGGTTCAGAGTAACCTATAGTAACCTCTAAATCCTTTTTCATTCAATTTTTCTGTGCGTACAGTAGGAAAATTTTAGGTGTGTCCAGACCGGATACACTGTGCCGCAAAGGGTTAAATAATCAGTAGGCACAACTTGTGTGAGACGCTGAAGCCGGAATAACTTTGGCAGAGCTGGCGATAGTACGTAATTGCCAGAAACTCTCAATCTAAAATATTTAACCCCTCCCCCGCTTTTGAAAATTGTTAATTTTATTAAAAGCCAGGCTTTAAATTCAAGAATATTTGCGATTTTATGCGAAGAGATTAGCAGTGAACGTGAAACGCTTTTGTTACATTCCAAAGTAAGATAGTTATCCAGAAACAAAATTTTAAATGGTATTTTAGAACTTGGATCAGAAATTCAAATTTTCCTCCGTGATTCAAAATTTGATTAGCAAAATTATTTATTTAGCGAAATCTGGTTGGCGCATTTAGCATATTTAGCTGATACTTTTGAAAAGTTAAATGAATTAAATTTAGGACTACAAGGCAAAAGTGTTAATTTGTAATTAGAGGTAAAATAAATGCAATCATAATAAAATTTGATTTAATAATCGAAGAACTGAATAATAATATTTTAAACTTTTTGCCACTTTTAGAAAGCTTTCTAACCAAAAGTAATTTGAAAAGAAAACAAAAATTAGCACCCGACATTTAAAATCATTGTTTTTCGTTGATAAATAATTTCAACGTGTATTTTCCCGAGGATCATGAAAAAGAACATTGGATTAGAAATTCATTTTGTTCAAATATACCTGAACGTTTATCGCGTGAAGAAAAATAACAATTAATAGAAATTTCCTGTCATCGAATTCCAACTAAAGATTTAAAAAATAATGCACTTGTTAACTTTTGGCTAAACAGAAAAAAAGAATTTAAAGCCTTTTTAAACAAAGCTATTAAATTTTTTGTTTCCTTTTATTTTTTTATTTTTTTTTTTTTTTATTAGTTTTTTTTTTTTTGCACAACCTAATGTTAAAAGTTCCATTTTAAAAATAAATACAGAACCAGATTAAAAGTGGATCCTAATTTACGATTTAAACTAAGCGAAATAAGGCCAGACATAAAGAAATTGATCTATCTGAAACAGACCCTAATTTCACACTAAATTTTTGAACTAGAATATTATAACTTAATAACTTTTGATAATTAAAATGGTAACCAATTTTTAATCTATCTTTTTATGTGCGCATATTTAAAATAAACAGCCAATAGGCTGTGCAAATGGCAATATATATTTCTATTGAGAAATTTAAAAATAATCATTGTAAAATGTAGTGGTGGTGATAAAGTTTTCCAGTTTTGTTTGGTTTTGTTTGGTCAAAAGTCTCAAACTTGCAGGGGTGTGCCGCATGCCGCCACAGAAGCTTTTTTTTTTTTTTTTTTTTTTTTTTTTTTTTTGTAGCCCGGGAATACATTTTCATTATTATTTGATGCAAATACGTTACTTATAGTTTTAGAGCCATAAAGATGTCTACTGCGCTTATGTGAGACTAGTATAGAAGGAAGTGTGTGTATAATAATGGCAAAGCCTCGAGGACTGTCTGCCTAAGGGGAGGGATGCCTTCGTGGAGAAAGTATAGAAGGAAGAAAAGATAGAATGAGTAAATTTATCTTTGTTTCTGTATGCTTATACGTCAAGCCACGTTAAAGTGGAAGAATTTCCCACGTTCGTACAGTCAGTAAATTTACATAAATATATTGCCACTTGGCAACTGGCACAATAAATTTACTGACTGTATCAGTTAAGATTAAGAGTAAGTTATTTAATGGTTAATTCAATATACTGGAATTACCCGAAACAAATGTCAGTGTAAGAATTTAATATTTAGCTATCTATGCGTTTGAGTTAGAAAGTACAACCAATGTACACACGTTATAGCTACAGATCTTTACACTTGCGATAGAAAATATTAATTTTTTCTTTTCTGCTATTATTATTATTATGTATGCATGTTTTAATAAATATTCAGTAAATAAAACTAAAAGTTTAATTTATCAGCCCCAATATGGCAATTCTCCCAGAAGAGCTATTAATTTCGTTTTGGCATTTTCGTCCACAATGAAACGGCGTTTCACTGTTCAAATTGTTATCACCAAATATTAGAGCCCCGCATTAAATTTAAAGAAATTATATAATGCAGAATTAGCATGAATATATATACGTTTCTTGCATTTAGAAAAAATAACGGTACTTAGAGACATCAAATTTTAGGCAACATAAAACTCCAGTAAAATATGGGTATCTGGAAGCCCAAATTTGGTACTTAGAATATGTTTTATTATTTATTTCATATTTTGTAAAACGTTAAAAAATTTTTGATTAAGAAACTCAACGATTTCAAAACCAGCAATGGCAACATTGCACGGAAAATAATAATAATAATAATAATAAAAATAAAAAAGAAAAAGAAACATTTTTATCTCCAGCGCGTAAGACTTCGGAAATTCTAAAGATATTCGTTCCTTAAATATTTTGGGATATTGCTGTTGAATTGAATTTTATGGTTTAAATGCGAAGAACATGATGTTTAAATAAAGCTAACACACAAAACGTTATAAAAAACTCTTTTGTGCGTAATATAAAACCTGCAAGCTTCTTTTTTTATTTTTGCTTTGCTTTGCTGAAAATGTTTTTAAATTTTTTTGAAATAATATTCTGACTTGCACTTGTCAGCTGTGAAGTTTTCCGAATGTATCTCGATCTAACCTGACAAGAAATATTATTATAAATTCTACAAGAATTCATATCAAAAACAGAATTGGGTATTTTATTGGCATAAAAATTAATGAATACTGAATTTCTGTAAATTACGTCCTAATTTATAACTATCAATTTAAATCACAGTTTTTCTATACTCAAAGGAAAAAATTTCTCCCCCCTCTTTATACCCTTCCACATTCATTCATCTATACAATATTTTTCGCTAGTCCTGCAATACGTAGCTAATTTTTATGTTTGTTATCAATTAGAATTTAACAATACATTGAAAGCTTTCAGATTTTACATTACGCCCAAAGGGACTTTTTATTAACGTTTTGTGGGTTACCTTTACGCTTAAACCATAAAATTCAGTTCAACAAAAATCTCCGAAAATAATTTTAAAATGAGCATATCTTTAGAATTTCCGATAAACAATTTCGCGCCAGCAGATAAATTTTTTTTCTGGACAGTGTTGCCATTGCTCACTTTGAAATCCTTAAGTTTGTTAATCAAAAATTTGTTAACGATTTTCATAATATGAAATCTCTACATATAATAAAAGAAAGAGTCTATGTGTGTGTGTCTGTGTGTCTGTCTTTCGTTCTAATAAACACCCGGCTACGAAATTTGGTACATATGCGCATCTAGACAAGAGCCAGTGCACCTCGAAGCGATTTTTTCGAAATTCGAATTAGAATTTTTTTTAATTTTATGTTTTGTGACGAAATCGCGTCATTTTGAGAGATAATGAGCTATAGGAAAGCGAGATTTTACTCTACACACTCCATTTTCACATCGTCATGAAACTTAGGCACTTAGCTATTTTACAAACTTAAAATAAATTTCGTGTTTCAATAAATCGATTCAGTACCAATTTGTTTAACAAAGGGAGCTTAACACCTTTTCAACGGGATTTTTTCTAAAAAAGTTTATTTTTAAAAATGTACAGTTTATTTTTCTTTCATTTTTGGACACGTTAAACTTTCATCCTTGCGACTGCTTTTAAAAAAAGAATTGAAAAAAACTGATTTTGTATTTAAAAAAATTTTAAATGAAGCTTCCGAGTACACTTCTCACATCTTTAAAAATGTTATTTTGGCAACAATTTTCCTGTCTTGGCATATTGTCATTTATATATATATATAATACATTTTTATTGCTTAATTTTTGATAAAGTTGATCTGTAGAGTAAAATTCTGCGCGGAATTTTATGTTTTTTGAGTTGCTTTCATGTTATTTTTTGCTTATTTTACTGTTTGTAAGCTATTGAAAAGTTTTGCATGATTCTTTTTCTTCAACGGGAAGTTGGTTAATTTTTTTATTAGGATAATTAATACTTTATTAAGAGATAATTGCTTATTTCATTGTAATTTGTTTATACATAATAACTTTTTTATGAAGTTGTTCTGCAGAGTAAAATTCTACGCAGTTTTTAAATTTAACGTTTGGTGTTCCCTTCAGCCATTTTTCCGGTACATTTAAAAGCCAGACGAAGGCTGGCAGCGAAGCTGCTAGTAGATGATAAAACAAATTCCAAATTTGGGCTTCCAGATTCCAGTGTAAAGGCACGTTATTCAAAATTGGATGGCTCTAGGTACCGTAGTTTTATCACAATGCGAGAAACATATATAATAAAGTTATATTAAAAGTTTAAAGTTTCTGACATTTAAAATTTTTGACGCAAATTGCCAAAACGAAATTAATAGCCCCTCTGGGCTAACGTCCTTTGGGCTAAAAATACACTACAAAATTTAAATTGAAGAATCTTATGTATTTTCATGGTCTGATTCTCTCACGTAATGTTTTGCATGTGACAGAACTCTGTGATTCCGGCTACTATGAATGTAATAACCGCAAATGTTACGATCCCAAAAAGAAATGCAATGGTGTGGATGATTGTGGTGATGGAACTGACGAGGAAGACTGTGGTAAGTTAAAAATACCTCGTTTGTCGTTCATAATAACAACCAAAGCAAATGTATTATTAAAAAACGAATATTTGTATACAGCACTGATATATTATTTGGCCTGTTATGAAATTTTGATCTTTCTTGCATAACGGGATTTGAGATGCTGTGACGCCGGTTTTTAATAAATATATTTTACAGTTGACAGTTTAGTGACAAAAATGAAAATTAGGTTTGTTACGTGTTATCACTAGCATCTTAAAGTCGCCAAATGTTTGTATTGTGCCAAACTCTTGCAATCATGCACATCGCCATTCTTTAGGCAATCGTTCTCATAATAATTCTTCAGTCAAACAAGGTCGCCATTTTCGTATGCGTCCTCTTTCTTGTATTCCAAGTTCTAATGGTTTCATAAACAAATTATGATATTTTTTGCCTTAAATTTGATTTTAAAATATAGGCTTTGCCAGAAATGGAAAATCTCTCCAGGAAAATAGAATTTTGCTGCAAAATTAATAAAGGTAACAGCGAAGAGATACGTTTAGTAGATAAGCTGTTGCCGAGTTTGCGCAATGTGCCGTCTCTGCAATTCTATGATGTTTATTAAGAGAAAACAGATCGCTATAAAATTTATATCGCGAAATAAAATTATAGAAAATTATGGGAAGAACGTAAGTATTTTATTTTTTAATGTACGACATAATCTTTATAAGTTAAATTTGTATTTTAAATTGCCGAAGCATGTATTATACGTTGTTTCATACGTTAATAATGTTTGCCAATTTAACGATAAATATCGATAGTTTCGGAATACGACAAGTATCTATAGTCAGAAAATTTTACCAATTCATCTGTAGAAAATGCCAAATTCCGCCTAGGTGGCTGCCTTAATACGTAAGTACCAAAATAAAAGGAAGGAAGGTGAAAAAGGAGGAAAAGTGAAAGGACCAATTGAGCGATACATGTGACATTTTGATAATCATGGCAGGCAGCGTGTTTGTTATAGCAGCCACTGCGTTTTGTTACCATATTTGAGAAATTCAATCGCCCAATTAGTAACGTATAAACTTCAAATATCGCTAAATGCTTATGCGGTTTTGCTTTAATAAGAAAATATTATTTTTTAATTAGTATGAAGTTTGCTCATACTGACTGTGCTCCAAAAATTTTTTCCATCCCGACAAAAGGTTTTTCTCCATGCTAACAAAACAGCTACTGAAAACATTTATCCATACAAACAAAAACAGATTCACTCATAGAAATGCCTTAATACCTTAAGTTTATGAAATAAAACAGCTTCAGACGAAAATTTAAACTGACATTTTTATGGGGCTAAAAAATTAGGAAATCTAAAATATGCATTAAATTAAACTATTGAGGTAAGGTATCTTGCATAATGCAAGATATTTTCCTCAAAAGTTTAATTACTAAATGTTTACCCAAAACTTATACATATATTATAGATACCTTAATGCCAATGAAACGTAAAAAACGGATATATTTAACATGATTCTTTCTCAAAAGCAAAATAGTAAGCAACCTAAATAAACCAGATATAATTTAAAACTGTTAAAAAGTGTAAATGCAGAGAGATACAAAGTTTGTGTTACAAAAAGTAAGAAAAACCCATTAAAATATGCAATATTTCATAAACATAAGAGATGACGAACATTTCAAAATCAAAATCAAGATTCACATTTTCCCCCCTGATATTCCAAATTTTTGAATTATACTTGATACATACTCTAATAAAACTCAAAAATCGGAAATAAAAGGTATGATGAATACCAGTCACCGGAAACAATTGAGATAATTATTACCAGCTGCATACACTCTACGGCTAATCTTTAGAATATGGTAACAGGTAGTTGGCGACATTTTGGTAAGGCGATAAAGGTTACTTGCTAGAACTTTAGCAATAATCTGAGAAGTACACAGTTCGAATCACAGATGATTTTGTCTCAGAGAAATGAGAGATTATGAGACATGTCATGTGACATTTTCTGGAAAATTCCGATCGTGATTTTAGCTAATAAGCACTTAGAAACAATTTCGCTGCTAAAGTGCAGAATCGCCCACTTATTTGTTTGGCGCTTTTTACAAGAGTAAGAAGAATTGGATTTTTGCCAATTTTCTTTGACTTTTTAAGTGAAAATAGGTCGATGTGTACATAGATAAAGTCAAGAGTGTACGCAATGCCATTTTTGTGCAATTCTGGGATGTTTTTTTAAGTGAAAATAGGTCGACGTGTACATGGATACCGTGTATGTGCAATTCTTAAAAACGCGGCAAGCAGTTTGCGATTCTGCACTTTCTTCCAAATTCGCACCTAATCTTGGCCATGATTAAGCATTTTTGTTCCATAAAAGTTCTGGTATAAGCGTGATTCGGCTAGCAGATTGTTGAAAAAATGTTGAGTAAAATAAATAAATTAAAAAAAAGCCTTTACTTCGTGAAAACAAATGGCGTCCAAAATAAAACTAGCAGGTTGCTGTAGCAAGGTTGGTCGCCAAATTTTCGCCAAAAAATTGCCAAGTTACCATAATGTAAAAATTCACCCAATCTACTAACAGATCATTAAGAATTACATTTATTCAGTTTTAAACAGCTTTTTTATTAACTCGTATTTTGATAATGGAGTACGGCCCAAAGTTAAACTCTTATTATTGTAACTTTAAATAACTACGTTTCTTCTTTTTAACAAGTTACATTTGTTAACTGCACTACAGATGCTACAGGCGCATTTACAGATGATCAACGGAATTAACATCTGTGGACAGCTGGATATTGTCGTCAAAACAGCAATAGACTGAAAGAATCACTTGCAGGAAGTTTGTATTTATAACAATCTAAAGAGAGCTTTCAATAAAATCGGAAGACCTAACAAAGTAGTAGGCCTACCAGCGGCCGAGCGGTAAAGTCGCTGAACACTGGTAGTTCGATCCGAGGTTCGAATCCCGCGAACGGGCTGGCTGCATGGGTGTTTTCGTGGTTTTCCCCATGTGTAACGTGTATACGAGCCAGTTTTCCTAATAAAGTCCTCCACGAAGACATCCCTCCCCTTAGGCAGATAGCCCTCGAGGCATTGCCGTAATTAAATAACCTAACAAATTAGTAGAAATTGAAGAAAGCCATTTTATGCGCAAAAAACGAGACAGGTCGCATAATTTAACAGTGATGGCTACTTGTTGAATCATGCAGAGAGAATGGCGAATGTTACTTGAAGAGTTCCGGAAGAAGAACGGCTAAGAATTCCTATTGAAAAACTGGCGAAACTTTGGGAGGACGTCCGCCAAATTTCATGGTCGACGGGACAATACGTAGGTACCCTTTAACATTTTGAAATTTTGACAAGAGAGAAAACACACGGAAGCAAGTCGCAAGATAATGCCTCTGACAGTGAATACTTAAATAATCTCTACTATCGATAAAGTAGACCTCTATGTGTGTGTGGCAAACTCGCAGGGCTGAAAGATATGACATTTACTTTTGTTTGTGGTTAGGCATTTGCAATGAAGCGCCAACTGAGTGAGAATGAAGTATATTTACTGACACTTTTATGAATTACCGACACTTTTTACTTCCTTGTATGAAGTAAAAAGGAAGTATTGTAATCGCGAAAAGTTTTAGGCAGCATATTTCAACGAAAATATCAATTTTAACCGCTATCGAATGCAATTTAATGATGTTTTTGTGTGATATGTGTACGTAAGGACAGAATAATAGACACTTTTCCTCCAAAAAAATTATAAAACTGCTTTAAAATGAATTCTGAAGATAATTTTTCGTGGCGTCTGTACGAACGTATGTACGCATAACTCAAAAACGAGTAGCCTCAGAACGTTGAAATTTTGTATATAGGACTGCTATAACATTTAGATGTGCACCTCGTATTTTGGATGCAATCGGCCGCACCAAACGTATATAAATATATTTATCTGTATATCCCCTCTGTTAACCGGCTCAGTGATCTCAGTTTCTTTACTCTTATATGCTTGTAAATTGTGCATTTTTTGCTTTAAAAATGATTGAATTATGTTGTTCTTATCTTCTGGTTAAGGTTTTTATGCCTTTCGTAAATCTGTATGCAATATGTTTAGAATTATCAACAATTTTAAATTTGTTTAATTGCCGCTAAGCCTAATCATTTTTTTTTTTTTTTTTTTTTTTTTTTGATGGCGGCCATTACTTGCTTATATTTGAAACTGCACGAACTGCATGATAGTGGGTTTGTTGCCAATATAGAGAAACTTAGCTTCACAAAAAGCAAAAATAACGCCTTTATTTATTATTGCGAATTAAATCATGCTTAATCCTTTCTGGAATTTTTTCGGAATAAATGTGGAAATAAGTGTTTAAAATTTACTTCGTAATTTTTAATACAGATATTTTGAGTTTTTATGTATTTTTGCCTTGTCGCGAAGTGAGAACTGAATTAATTGAATGAGAAATACTCAATCGTCTGTGAAAAACTGTTTCTATTTTGTTTTGTTTGTTTGATTTCTTTTATACATCGTTCTAGCTTCATTATAGTATTTGAATAGGACAAGTGGCAACGATTAGATAATTCTTTAAATGATATAAAGTTTATGCATTCTGAGCTATAATATGAACGAAATATAATACTGTTAAGTGAATCTAGCTCCAGAGTTTCGCTATGGTAAACAAATACTAGAGTGAATTTTAAAAATGCATTTATTCTATTGTGGTTTATGCTTTGTCGGTGAAATAGTTTAATAAGTTTAAATGAAATGCAAGAAAAAATGCGTATAATTTAATATTCCGTACAAGGAAATCATGTGGTGTACACATCAGTTTTTTTTTTTTTTTTATTTTTTTATTTTTTTTAGATTTTCCTATAGTTAAGTTTCCAAAGGAGTGTGGAAATCCGCCCATCAAACCGAAAACGATCTGGAATTCGCCAGATAGTTCTCCGATCGTATCGTAGGGGTGAACCAGTGATCCCTACAGCTGGCCATGGCAAGTATCTCTTCAAGATGCATACAGCGAACCTAATGGTCATTTCTGTGGAGGTGCTCTCATAAACGCGCAGTGGATTGTAACAGCCACACATTGTGTCGTAGGGTAAGTAATTCTAAGAAATTAACCAAGCGAATATTATATACAGAGTTTTTATACATATTTTTGTTATAATGCCAACGTGTGTTCATCAAGGAACTCTGTACTAGGTACATGTAAGTGATCACTTTAGTTATATATTTTAAAATTAGAAAAGCATTGAATGTAGCCAGAATATATATAGAAATATAAATAAATAATGAAGAACATAAATAAAAAAAAGGTAAATGCAATTAGCATTAAAATTTTTAAAAAAATATTCAGGAACAAAGTATTACCGCCAAATCTTTCAGCCTGAATTTTTTATCTTTATGTTGTAATCCAAGTTCCAACGTTTTTATTAACAAACTAGCAGCTACGCTGCCAGCCTTCGTCTGGCTTTTAAATGTACCGTAAAAATGCCTGAAACGGAATACCAAGCGTTAAATTTAAAAACTGCGCAGAATTTTTACTCTGCAGAAAACTTCCGAAAGAAAACCTACAATTTTTTTAAAAAATACATTACATATAAAAAAATTAACCAACTTTCCGTTGAAAAAACAAATATCATGCAAAACTTTTCAATATCTTACAAACAGTGAAATAAGCAAAAAATAACATGAAAGAAACTCAAAAAACAAACAAATTCCGCGCAGAGTTTTACTCTGCAGAACAATCAATAAAAATGTTGGTGTTGGTGTATTTAATTATGGCAAAGCACACGAGGGCTATCTGTCTAAAGGGAGGGATGCCTTTCGTGGAGGACTTTCTAAAAGAAACTGGCTCGTATACACGTTACACATGGGGAAAACCACGAAAACGCCCATGCAGCCAGCCCGTTCGCGGGATTATCAATAAAAATGTATTATATATATATATATGTTACCGTGTAAGACCGAAATTGGAGAATGTCGACTTTCACCGGAGAATGTTAACATTCACCAGATACGTTGGTGAAAGATCGAATATTGCACTACATTCTTATATATTCGGACCGTCACCCGTATATGTCGACAATCACAGATATGCTCTGGTGTAAGTCGAAAAGAGAGGTCATAAAGTGCCATAATAGTTTAAGTTGTTGCAATACATAAGATTTGAATTACATAATTTAGTAAGTTTTTATTACTGTTATTTCATTTACTCATTTAGAACGTATTGTATAATTAAGTAAGTTTTTAACTTCTATTATTTTCTTTTCTCATTTTGAATGCATTGTGTGTTTTAGGTTCTCATGTTCTTAAGTTCTTATTTCAAGTCTCAAGTGCGTTTATTCGCGACTGAATTACGGAGAAGAAAATATAATATTGTTATATGTTCAACATTCAATATTAGTACATGGTGAATGTCGGCATTGACCGGTGTAAGTCAGAAATAAGAGTATTTGGAAACTATTTCGGACATACACCAAGAGACTATGTGAATGTTGACATCAACCGGGAAAGTCGACGTTCTCCAGATTTCGGTCTTTCAACGTAACATATATACTATATAAAAGACAATGAAATATGCCAATCGCTTAAAAGCAGTGACATAAGAAATACGATGAAAAATTGTTGCCAAACCCATAATTCTAAAAGAATGAAACTATTCAAAATGATGCGATTTCATCAAAAATCTATCAATAAGAACAAGACAGAAAAATTGTTGCCAAAGTCACATTTTTAAAGATGTGAGATGTGAGAAGTGTACTCGGAAGCTTCATTTAATTTTTTTTTTTTTTTAAATACAAAATATTATCATTTTTCCTAAATTCTTTTTGTAAAAGCAGTCGCAAGGATGAAAGTTTAACGTGTCCAAAAATGAAAGAAAAATAAGCTGTACATTTTTAAAAATAAACTTTTTTAGAAAAAATCCCGTTGAAAAGGTGTTAAGCTCCTTATGTTAAATAAATTCGTATTGAATCGATTTATTGAAACACGAAATTTATTTTAAGTTCGTAAAATAGCTAAGTGCCTAAGTTTCATGACGATGTGAAAATGGAGTGTGTAGACTAAAATCTCGCTTTCCTATAGCCCATTATGTCTCAAAATGACGCGATGTCGTCAGAAAACATAAAATAAAAAAATTCGAATTCGAATTTCGGAAAAATCGCTTCGAGGTGCACTGGCTCTTGTCTAGCTGCACCTATGTACCAGAGTTCGTAGCCGTGGGTCTATTAGCTTACGAAATTGTGCAAACGAAAGACACACACACATACAGACTCTTTCTTTTATTATATGTAGAGATTGTGATATTTTCTCCTTTCAACTCAATCTTAAAATATGGCTCGTAGAATTCGCCAGTAGTGAAAAATACTGAGATAAAAGTTCTACAGAAATATAATATTTTACCGCATAATCGTTAATGAGAATAATGATGAGATCAATTTGGTAGATTACCGGTGCGGAATGTCGAGTTTGTGGAGTTCTGTGATTTTGTTCTAAGCGAAAGCAGATGGCTGTGTTCAAAGCTCTTCAGTCGACCGGATGATACCTAAGTATAATAATTTGAAATGATAAAATTAAGCTTTAAGAGAGTTTTTTTTTTTTGCGGGGGGGGGGGTACTGTTCTGTTATTGGAAGCAAATTCAAATATTGCCAAAAGCTGACGATCCGGCGAAAAATTTGAAGCATAGAAATAATCACCCAAAATAACAAACGATATTCGCAAAATTAGAAATTTTTAATGTAAAGTGAATAACTTGCCCAAAAATTCAGGAGGAAAAAAAAGGCAAATTCGATTAATTAAGATTAACGGAGGCAAGAAACTGGGGATATAATTTAAAATACCTGAAACATTTACGTTTTAGGGCGTAGCCGCTTCCATATAAACTCAATGGAATAAGAATCTAATTGATTACGGTGACCGCCTCGTTGAAGTTCAGTTCGCAGTTTCTCACTGGGCGATAACCTTTCCACAGTTTGCGTGCGACAAACAGTATCGAAATGAACTGACCGATGAGATGCGGAGAAACAAAGAATACAGACTCTCAGTTGTCCTAGATGATCGGTGAGCCCGGTCTGGGCACACATAGGGTTCGCCGTTTGATTTTAGGCAAGATTTCAGGGTAAAAATTTAAAACTAATATAGAATAAGGAGATTAGCATACATTCCAAAAAAATAACCAAAGAAATTTCTTTTTCAAACAAATTCCTTTTATACCCTAAAAAAAATCTGGAAGATTTCTTTGAAAAATGAGGGTCATAAAAACTAAACATGGCTAAAATATATGGACTGGTTTGTGTTGAGCTGCCATCTACTATAAATAAAGAAGGTTCAGAGTAACCTATAGTAACCTATAAATCCTTTTCCATTCAATTTTTCTGTGCGTACAGAAGGAAATTTTTAGGTGTGTCCAGACGGGACACACTGTGCCGCAAAGGGTTAATGCAGTAATGGTCAAATCCGGCCTCTTGTTATTCTTCAGAGTTATACCTTTTCTTATAATGTCATGAATAATATTTTCTTCAATAACTTTAAGCAAAATTATGGCACAGCGGTTACCCACAGCAACTAAATATCAATATTTTGTTTCGCGGAAAATCCCTCCGCACACCCACTGGGACGGTAGAATTCGACCAACTTTGCTTTTTAGACGCAAACACATATTTTTGTTAATCTCGACGATATTATTAGTGCCGCATATTTTAACTAGCGGTCTAGACATTACTGCATGGTCACAGATTTCTCTCACATAATTTTTTCCGGATTCACCAGCGGCCAAGCTGTAAAGTCGCTGAACATTGTATTTCGGTCCGAGGTTCGAATTCCGCGAACGGGCTGGCTGCATGGGCGTCTTCGCGGTTTTCCCCATGTGTAACGTGTATACGACCCAGTTTCCCTTAGAAAGCCCTCCACGAAGGCATCCCTCCCCTTAGGCAGATAGCCCTAAGGGGGAATTGAATAACTAACCTAACCTAAGGTGAAAATAATGACTTGAATATTGAACCTGTGGAGGAGTCGAGAAATTTTGTAATTGATAAGTTTAAATAATTATTGGGTACGTGTCAACTAAATGTAAGTAAGTAAACCAAACCAAACCAAACCATAATTTTTCCAGTCAACCACAGTGCAATGATTCATATAAAGGTGATACTGACAAAATGAAATGGGAGTTAATTCTAAACACCATTCATAAATGAAACGAATTGCCGTTGAGAAACTGATTCTCGATCCTTCAAAGTCATTTTGAGAACGTAATCCTTTTTTTTTTTTTTTTTTTTTTTCGGCACGTCATAGCTTCATATCTCCATTTCGAGGTTTCCTTCCAATTCTACGCGTTCTTAGATTTGGAGTGATTGATGACAACACTTGATAAAGGTTAGGTTAGGTTATTTAATTACGGCAAATCCTCGACGGCTATCTGCCTATGGGGAAGGATGCCTTTGGTGAAGGACTTTCTAAGGGAAACTGGCTCGTAAACATGTTACACATGGGGAAAACCACGAAAATACTCATGCAGCCAGCCCGTTCACGGGATTCGAACCTCGGACCGAACTAGCAGTGGTCAGCGACTTTACCACTCGGCCGCTGGTGGGCCACACTTGATAAAGAATCAAAACGCAATTTATTCGTCAATATTACGAAAGACAAATCCAAAGACGCGTTACAGTCGTCGAAAAACTACGACAAACAAGCTGAAACAATCATCAGCACAGCCTTCAGGCTATAGCGGTGAAGACAACTTCACGGCAAAACACTAAATACAGCTCCCGACTCGTTCGCGATCGCGCTCAGAGCTTTAACACACTCAAGATACTCTGTCACAATAAAACTCACGATACCTTACTACTCCGCGTATAGAGAGGGTTTATGTGGCTTTTTACCTGACTTGAAAAACATTCTGAGCAAACCGGTAAGAATTCGTTTTAGAATGTTTTCGCTCCATCTATGGCCTATTACCAATTTTGTCCCCAAATGGGCAACTTCGCGCCAAATCGGGCAACCCTGCATTTCTTTGCCATTTTCTGGCAACCCTAAACACGTTTTGCAAGGAAGGTATCTTACCGCGGCTGGGCATTTCGTAACAGAATTGAAGTAGAGGTTCATTTTATGGATCTTTGTGCATTTTCTTTCAGAGTGAATAAATAATCATTGGTTCCTGAAGATATTTCATCATTAGGTGTAAGTCCTAAATTTTTATATCCATGGTAAATAAAATAATAATAAAAACAGAAATGATAGTGACATCTTCAGAATTCATATTCCCTTTACCAAGTCTGAAAAGGCATTCTTTCGCTTTTTAAAAAAATTAAATATTGTAACGATTTTAAAAGCAAATACTGGCGACTTTATGTGAACCAGTCTCTTGGCGAGTTTAGCAAAACTTTTGGCGACGACTCCGGTCTTGATAACAGAACAGTACCTTTCTTTCGTGTCCTTTTACATTTTAACTAATTTTTAGTTTCTAAATTCTCATAGTCATGGAAAATTCTGATTACTTTAATTGAATGAATTTTTCAAATGGCAGAGAAATCACTTACCACAGTTTTTGTCGTACCCCATAAATTATGTTTAATTAACGTGATGACTCAAATAAATCCTACTAGAATCCTTCTCGAAAAATAGTAAGTTATGCATAAAATTCAATTAAAATTAAAATTAATTAAGGCATTCATTATATGCTTCCATCATTAAGTACAGTTTTTGAACCAATAAATATGTTACACTAACATGAATATTCCTCAGTTTTGGAAGATCATCTTCCCCATTTTATTATTGAACTTTTTGAACAGGAGGCCTTACCCCGGCTTAATCAAAATTCATCTCGGAGCTCACAGCAAATATAATAGAACTCAATATGAGCAAGTGAGAATATCCGAGAAAATAATTGCATACCCTGATCTCCAATTTCAAGATGTAAGTATGTTTGAAAATTTTTATATTTATAAAATTATTTAAATAATAAATGAAATAATTAAGATAAAATAACATGCCGAACAAGTATTAATTTATAAGTCAAACAACAGAAATCAGCTATATATTTGCAAATTTTCACAGGACTAGTTTCGATGGTTTTACCGAACCATCGTCCTCAGACGAGAAAGCGCAAAAGAACGAAATGAGATATAGTGATTAGATAAAATAAGAATGGCTGGAGAAGAGTTAAGCTATTGGCGCCATCTATTGATGAAACAAGAACTAAAATATAATTTTCTTAAAGGCTGAAAGCAAAGATAAATTGGAATTAGGGTCCTTAACTAGACCAGTAAGATTCCTTTGTATGTGAAACGCCTCTAGGAAATGTAAATCACCAATGGAAGATGTGTTTTGAATAATTTTGGCTGCAGGAAAATTGAAAGTGTGATTTTGAGACCAACATCAAGGATCTTATCTAATCACTGTATCTTATATCGTTCATTTGAGCTTTGTCAGCTGAAGAGACTGGTTCGGTAAAACCATCGAAATTAGTCCTGGGAAAATTTGCAAATATAACGCTGATTTTTGTTGTTTGACTTCTAAATTAATAAATGCAATAATTCTAGAGAGTCTCCATAAATCCAAAAATATCTAAAATGTTTAGAAACAACACAGGATCCAGAAGGACCTCGTATTTTCTAAAATCCAAGGAAGCTAAAATATGGGCTGTGGTGACCATGTCAACCTTACACCAATGGCACTCGGGGAAAATCTTCTGTCCCTGCTGAAATGTGAATGCTGTAACATGGACACTCATGAAGCGTGAGAAGGCCGTCTGGCGTATTCTTAGGCGATAGCTGAATTGACCTGTCCGGTTTTCTTCCAAAATACGACAGCTGATTAGGAGGAATCCTTTCAAGTAGGTTTAATTCCATCTTCCTAAGAGAGGCGATTTCGCAATATGTAAGAGCCCCCACAAGGGCTCACTCCTCCGCAGCAGTCCTGGCCAGGTAGTCAACCTTTTCATTTCCATTGATCCCTTCATCAAATGCGATACGCTGAAAACGAACAGAGTTTCAATATGGATTAACCTTTGGAAGAAGTACGGAGGATGCACTTTACTGGGTTGTTGGATATGTCAGACGTTTTAACAACACATAGCTTTGATTTCTCTAGACATTTCGGCTGCATTTGATTCTGTTGATTGGTCTTCCTTGTTTGGCTTAATTGATTTAAAAATACCTAGAAACTTACTTTATTTATTTAAAAGTTATTTTAGTAAGAGGAAAATTGTTTTTAATTGTTTTAAGGATAAGAGCAAAGACTTAGTAATGAATATTTATAAAAGATGCCTTTAGGGCTCTTTCAGTGCTCCCTTGCTCTGGAACATTATTGTGGATAACTTGCTGAAGCAGAAGTTTCCCAAAATGTGGAATTAATTGCATATGCTGATGATATTATGATTCTTATGAAACACGATTCTCTTGAAAAAATGGAAAAATTATTTTATGAAACTACTCTAATACTAAGTGATTGGCAAAAGAAAGAAAAACTGCAATTTAATATTGAAAAAAAATTTGGATTGTTTTTTCCCAGAGGAGGTAAGAAGGCTAGACCACCAAATTTGAAATATCAAGGCAAAAGAATCAAATTTGTAGATAATATGAAATATCTTGGCGTTATGATTGATAACAAATTAAATTTTATAGAACATTTTAAGTTGGTACAAAGAAAAATTGATCTGATTTTATTAAATTATAGAAGAACCTTTTCAGCTGAGATTTTAGCCTTGAAATCCTCCATTCTGAAGAAGATTTACTTAAAGTAGTGCTTCCAATCATCATGTATTGGAATTGGAGCCTGGGGATCCAGGACAGGGGAACTGGTTAGATTACGGATGAAGTTTAGGACAGTATTCAGAGAGCTTGGGGTTTAGCTTTAACCCGATGTTTTAGAACCGGTGCCTACCGAGGCCGTCTTTGTGTTGGTTGGGCTGCCTCCTCTCTCAATTTTCTACGAATTTTATTATGAGAAATTTTTATTTAGAACTGGACGAATGGAATTGAAAATGTATGAAGAATATTTAATTACAAAGAATGTTTTTGAAAAATTTAATATTTATTTAATACATCCTTTCAATAGATTTTTTTTTTTTTTTTTTTTTTTTTTTTTTTTTTTTTTTTTTTTTGATAAATGTAATCCAACTGTTGATGTGTTTGATATTTATACAGATGGTTCTGGGGTCGGAGGGAGCGTAGGAGCTGCCTTTGTTGTTTTTTACTATGGAACTGAGGTGGATTATAGAATGTTTAAGTTGAACATATGTAATTCAGTTTTCCAGGCAGAAAGTGAAGCGTTAAAACAAGCCTTAATTGTCGAAATTAAGAGTCATTTAGAAACCTTGAGTTCATATTTAAATATTAAGCCACATTGGGTTAAAGCCCATATAGGCTTTATTGGTAATGAGAGAGCCAACAGGCTGGCCAAGCGTGCGTTCTCAAGTGTCAGTGCACTGGATATTAAAGTAACAGGTTCGAAGAGAATTGAAATTCGAAGAATGAAAACATTTTACGTTAACAAATGGAAAATACAGTGGTTCTCTTCACCTAAAAACAAAGGATTTATGGAACTAATTAAAATCACAAATAAAACGAAATGTATGAACAATATTGATGCTAATCAGGTTTTAACTGGACATGGTAGGTTTCCGTTCTATTTCAACCGATTTAATTTGAAGGAAAATAAATTATGTAGTAGTTGTCAGGTTGATGGTGATGCTAGGCATTTTCGTGGTTGAATTGTAGTTTAACAGCCCCTATTAGACAGATTTTTAACATTACTGATTTTAATGTAAGTGTCATTAATTTTAAAGTTTTTAAAATCATATTCTATTGCTCTAATGAAGTTTATGAAGGAAAATAGTGCGCTAGTAGGAGTCTTCTGTTAAAATTGAATTTTGTATTTATATGGGTTTTAGATATCTGTTGTGTTCTATGTTGTGAATTTGTGTTTATGGATTTTTTTTTTGTTTGTTTGTTAGTCTGTAATTTTGTGTTTGATGTGCTTATTTATTTTTGATTTAGTATTTTTGTTTGTTGTTTGGGGGTGGCTGGGTTACTGGCTGCCCTCGTTTGTGGAGATACGGGGCCCCTTCTTTTTGAGCTATGGGGACACTCGTGTCCAGGTGGGCTGAAGGGAGCCTCCAAATCTTACAATTCTTACGCTTTGTATCGAGGAAGGGTCTTGCATTATCTTATTGGAAGATGGCGTTCGGCAGCCTCGAAGATAGGGCAGAACCACTGAAGGTAAGATGACAGAAATGTACCAATCTCCGTTCTCCGATACGAACTAGAGATGTGCGTCTAGTACACCCAATGGCTACCCAAACCATTACACCAGGTACAGGGTCCCTATGACGATATTGAATGAAAGCAGACTACGCGCGGTCTCCTCGGAACCTCCAGATACGTATACGGCCATCAGAATACTGCTTAAAGAACCGAGACTCATCTGAAAAGAACACGTCGTGCCACTCGTATATCGAGCTTTGTCGTTTGGCGCACCAGAGTCGCCTTCTCTATGCTGCATTGTCAAGGGAAGGCGAAGTAATGGTCGTCGTGTTGGTAGTCCACTCGACTGCAAACGTTGAAGCAACGTACGAGCGCATACTAAACGTGCTGCAAACATGCCCATTTTCTGACCAATGGTCCTTGATGTGGTGTTGGACTTAATTTAAAATTTGAAACCTTTTAGATTTTTTTTATTTTTAAAATTCATGTATTGATTTTTTTGTGCATACTGAAACATATTTGTGCATAGTATATTGTTAGAAATCATCAGTTACAACCGCTTCATGTGATAAATTGTCACAAATTTCTCACTTTAACAGTTTATTCACTTAGTTATTGTTATTGACAGTACGATCTAGCTGACCGTAATATGCTAGCTTTGATATCTTTTCCTCTTCATTTTCAACAGCCAGGAATGGAGGATGTATCATTAATCAGAATCGGGTATTAATCAGAATCGGAGAAGGATTTAGAATCCTTCTCCGATTTCAAATCCCCAAATTCCTCATTCTGGAGACTTCCGCGTACTTGAAATTAGCTTTCAAAAGATAGTTCTGTGCCTATTTTCTAATGTCACTGGGTAAGCTTTGTTCGACTGTGAAAGGGGCAAACATACATAATTATATATTTTTTTATTTTAACAATTGAACTAAGTAACCTTTCTTCACCATAAAACATGGGATGCATAATTATATTGTTACGAAATGTACAGGCGCGGTGAGATGGCTTTCCGGCAAAGCAGTTTTAGGGCTCCCATAAAACGGCAAGGAAAAACAGAGTTGCCACATTTGGCGTAAAATCGCCCATTTGGCGATATTTGGCGACAAAATTACGAATTTTTACCGGTTTAGCTCAGAATGCTCCCGAACACAAGCCGAAAGCTATATAAACCCTGCTGGTCCGCAGTCAGGGTGTGTGCCTCGTCGAGAGGGCGAGTTAGTATCGAGTTGGTGTCTCGTCTAGCGAGTCAATCCCTGCAGAGTCGATCGAGTTGACAGCCGGCCAGCGAGTGCCGAGTGGATCGTCGAGTGCACCGAAAGAGTATCTTAGTGTATAGCGGTTAGTGCATCGTCGAGAGAGCGTGTTCAGCTCCGGGAACGACTGAACCGAAGAGTCGGGAGCCGTGCTCTGTGTGTCGTCGAGTGCATCGCGAGTGGTGAGTCTCGAGAGTGCGTGGAGTTCCGAGAACGACCGAGTAGAGTCGGGAGCTGTACTCTGGTGCTTTGCAGTGAAGCTGTCTCCACCGGGATAGCCTGATAACCTGAAGGCTGTGTCGCTGATCGTGTCAGTGTGTTTATAGTAGTTCATCGACGACTGTAAAACGTGTTTTGGAGCTGTCCTGACAATACTGGCCAATAAAGTGTGTTTCGATACTTCATCAAATGTCGTTGTTATTCACTTCAAATCCATACGAACCCCTTATGAACTTAACAATATGCTTCTTATTTTAACAACTGTAGAATTCTGAAAAACAAAAATACTATATATTTTTGTCCAGTTAATTAAAAGCAGTTTTTTAATTATTTTGGTTGTCTTCATACCTGGTTTTTCTAACTTATGTTCTTTACAGATCAGGAGATATTCTTCTAAAGACGATGTCAGTCTTATCAAGTTGAACGCCCCCGTTACCTTTAACGATGGAGTACAGCCAGCTTGCTTGCCGACGCTTGGCTGGAAATTGCAACCTGGTACTGTTTGCTACGTCACAGGTTGGGGGCAGAGTAGAGGTAATGAAATATCTTTACAATTCTGATATATTTAGAGAAGTAATTCTGCTTTCTATCAAATGCACCTTTTGGCCTTTTTTTTTTTTTTTTCACATGTAAAGTAAAGTTAAGATGTAATACATATTTCTAGATATTTCTAGATTTTGAATGCAATACTCCCCAATAAGTAGAATCACTTAAATACCAATATAAAAATAAATGCACATGGACACTCGACTAGAAACACAGTAAAGCAAGTATGTAAAAAGTTTGAAATTTTATATTTAGCTTCTGAAAATCAAAGTTTTTATTAATTTTTTGTTGTGACTTATATCACTTGTCTGACAGAAACCTCAGAACAAGCCCACGAAATATTTCATGGCAAGGAACACAAGATACGCTTGTCATTGGTCACAGCCTTTGAAGAGTCATTAGGTTAATTGGAAGCGGAAAAGATGAAAAATATGCAACCGCCTTCGCCGGGAATCGAACCACGGACCTCTGGAATACCGGCCTAGCGTGCTGAACTACTACACCATGAAGGACGCTAGGAAAGTGGGAGAAATACCTTATACCTTGAACAACTTACAGCTGACAGTGCGATTTACCTCAAGGTCAGTTTACACCTGTCAGAGCGGCTCGGAGCGAGTTGCTCCTCACGATTACTTTGACAATGTAAACGCTTACTTCGACGGAGTAGAAACGTAGGGGAGATGAGTCAGCGCTTCCGTTTCTACTTTGAACCTGTTGAAAAATCTCTCCGGGCAGTTACTCCGAGCAGCGTTTGCAGGGTCGTCGTGACAGTGAGTTCTATAATGCCAAGATTAAGCGATAGCCAAACCATGGCATTTTTTAATGCATACGCATCTTATGAAGTGTTTTACTTCTATAATTATGTGAGCTTATATTCATTTTTCTACAAGCATCCCTACATGAGGATGCAATAAATATATGATAAACTATAAAAATAAAAAATTATGAAAAAGATATGTAGATCTGTTTTATTGGGGATATTTAAATTTCTTGCTTTGTATAAAAACATTCTGGGCTATAATTCGTTACAATTCAGCTTGGATGTGAAACATATTCAGCTTGGATGCATGAGTGCAAGTACTGAAGGTGTATTAAGGTTTATACAAATTATGCTAGATGAATTCTAATCTTCTTAAACTATCCGTTTTAGCATTTTAAAAGTAAAGTATAATCAGTATATTTAACCATTATTAATTTTTTTGATATCACTTTGTATGTTGTCCAGAAACACAATTTCAGTAGGATCCAAAAGTAACAATTTGCTATAAATATCTTCCTGTTGGGACTATGTCATAATATATATTCTTTTACCTGTGGTAATATATGTGATACTCCCAAGTTTTTTGCTGCTTCTTATTTATTTCAGATTTTCTGAATAATTAGGTAGATATTATACAGTTTACTTCTGTCGTGTTAATGGTAGCTTTGAATAAATATTCCATGTGTTAATTTTGCATTCTTCTCTAGAAATAACATAGTTCCAGTCAAAACTCTGCATAATTAATTCATGCACAGAGAGCTACTGATTCTGTGGATTCTGGATGAATAAATATATTCTTTCTATTAATAAATAATAAAACACATTATTACTTTTACATTATTTTGTAAATGATTAATTAGGTGTAAATAAACAGTTATATATAGTATATAGTAGAAAAACTTTGTTAATTTGAATTTCAGTAACCATGCAGTTGACTAAATAACTTCTCTCAAAAACTGAGTTTCTTTTAAATCGATTAACTTCCCTCAGTAAACTGAATTTCTTTGATTGATTAATGAATATATTTTGAAGGTGAATAAATTTCAATTATGTTTATAGAATATATTTTAAGTCCTTGTTTGAAATACAATAACGTTTTTGTAACTTTGGACATTCTCGTCCGAAATTCATTTAATAGTTCATTTGATACTCCTAATTCATCGCGGCAAGCTACCCAATCACGTACCCATTCTTTTTTTTTCTTTTTCTTTTTTTTTTCCTCTCCCAAGAGCAGAAATTAATTCGTTTGAAACTGCTTCGCAGACTTCAAGCACTGCAGCCTAAGAACATCTATGTATGTTCAATGCATATTCTTTCCTGCAGCTGCGACGTCGGTATCCATTTCGTAAACAAACGGAGGCGAGTTGTCAGTCCACTCTGATTGGTGTAAACAATCTATCAGAGTACAGGTCCGTTCACTCGGTTCGAAACGTCCGGACGAGCGGCTCGCTACGAGCTGCTTTGACAGATGTAAACTGGCCTTTAGTTCCGTCGCCAATTTTGATGGAGAGTATCCCGGGGGGGGACGAGTCCGATTGTCTTCCACCCTTCTTCCCTTCCACCAAACCACACGAGAGGACTTTCGGCTCGCGCATGTTTGAAGTGCCCCCATGCCGCAAGGACACTATACATTTACAAACATCCATACCTTCTCCGGGAATCGAACCCAGGCTCTTCGGCACGGCACTCAGCGAGGCTAACCACTATTCCGGTTGAGTGGCTTATTAATTTTTAGTTTCATCTAGGATATAGAAAATAAAAACATCAGGCGGTTTGTAATTTAGTGTTATACGCAACCAGATTTGCTTCAGAAAACATCTGTAAATACGAAGACCTTCCGCTGTTTTACACCTCGAAGGTACATAATTTTCGTTTAATACATAAAATTCTGTCCTGGAGAAACTGACAAATGCAAAGAAGAGAAAGAATCTATGAACCGTTTTCGGCTAGCGTTGCTCTTAGAGGAAACATAAGATCTTTAATTTACTCCCAAGCATCTTCCTACATGACAGTGTGTTGCCATTCTTCGAAATATAAGATCTTTAATCTGTCATATTAAACCAATCTGTTATTTATTAGCAAACTGAGCAATTTCAAACAAGAAACCAGCTCCTTAACACTTTAAATTTTTTGTATTTTTACATTAATAATAACTGATATAAATTAAAATACAATTAATTCGCAATACTTGAATATGTCTAACAGATAAGCTTCAGAAACTTTGAGAAACGTATTAGAACATCTCCGTAATCATATAAGTTATGTAACAGGTAAAAAATCAAATTTCGATCGTATTTTTATAATTTAAAGAATGTTGCCGATAAATATGCTACCGCAAAAAAGCAACATTTCTCGTGAAACATTTTAAGGCTTTATCTTGCGATATCTAACAGATGTTGTTCAACTTATTTTGTGGGAAAAGAAGTTTTAGCTTAATTTTATTTTTAAAAAAATCTGATGTGTACACCACATGACTTCCTTGTACGGAATATTAAATAATACGCATATTTTCCTACATTTCATTTAAACTTATTTAATCGAATTTCAATAGAGGTATATTTCTCACTCAATTTCTAATTCAATTCTCACATCGTGGCAAAGCAAACATACATAAAACTTCAAAATATCTTTACCCAAAATTGAAAAATATAGAAATTTATAAAGCACCAAATACAGTAAAAACAATTAAAAAAACAATCCTTACACTTAAAATTACAGTTTCTACGCAAAAACAAGCAATTCGGCCGGCAGGCAAGAAGGAAGCTTTTTCGATGCACAAAACTGAGAATTTATTTTTGGTCCCACTCGGCAAAAAGACACTGAAGGTGCAGAAACTGACTTAATTCACTGTTCTGCTAAGTTTCAAATGTAAGCAAACATAGCTGCTATGGTAAAAAGATTAGGATTAGCCGTACTTAACTTTTAAATTAATGATAATTCTACAGTTTTTGCTCGCAGATTAACTAAAAGCATAAAAACCTTAACCGAAAGATAAGAGATATATATCTATACATTTGGGGCCGCCGATTGCAACCAAAATGGGAAGTGCACAACTACGTGTTTTAGCAGTCCTATTATAGAAAATTTCAGCGTTCTGAGGTTACTCATTTTTGAGATACATACATATATTCGTACATGCGTACATACGTCACGAAAAAAAAAATCTCTTCTGAATCCTTTTTAAATACGTTTTGGAACCCGTTTTGGGAAAAAGTGTTCTTTTTTCTGTCCTTACGTATAGATGTCACTCAAAAACATCGTTAAATTGTATTTGATAGCGGCCAAACTGGATAATTTCTTTGAAATATGATACCCGAAAAATTTCGCGATTACAATACTTCCTTTAGTTAGTACAAGGAAGAAAACAGCTAGAGAAAGAGAGAAGTAAATGAGTCACACGTCCCCGAAAAATCACACATTGTTTTCAACAGTATTCTTCCAAGGATTTCGTGACTTCTTATTTATTCAATTAATCTTTTACATGATAAGAGGCTAGGAACTGGTAGGCAATAGCTACAAATTTTTATGGAGTGGTTTTTGTGAAATATTATTTAAAGTTTAGAAACCGGTATTCATACAAAATGCTGTTTTTGCAATTATTTAAGACCATTTTGAAGAATAAGTTTGTAAAATATGCTTTCGCTAGTCCTGTCTTCCCCACAGTTTCCCTCTAGTAATTGTTTCAAACGACAAATGTTAATTCTTTTCAGATTATATCATGGAACTCGAACAACGAAGTTTAAATCTTACTTTCTTGTTTAGGATCTGGTGGAGCAGAGTTCTTGAAGCAGTCCGATCAAATGGTGCAGGCTAGAGAAAACTGCAGGGTTAACGAGAATACTCAAATATGTGTGGCGAAGTATCAAAGTTCACCTTGCCATGTAAGACACTTTCCTTCATTTAAGTACTTTACTACAGTTAAAAATGAAATGTTTTATATGCATCTGAGTTTATGTATATATCTGAGTAGTTTAAAACATTCATCTATATATATATATATATATATACACACACACAAAGCAAAACACAATTCAAAACGTAATCCATTTGCGCGCTGAAAGCAGCAATCATGCAAAATAAATTAAATAATACGTTTAAAATTCCTCACATATTCAATTCGGAATAAACCCTTTGCAAAAACACCAGAAACCAGCAGCACAGTGGCAAAATGCAAGAAAAATGGGAGCGAAACCAAAAATGAAATAAGAAATTTATATCTTTCCATGCATCGTCATCAGGAGACTGATGCAACGAATGAAATTAAGAAACCTGTTTCTGAACCACTCGAGACGCAAATTAAAGTTTAAAAGTTAAAAGCTTTAAATAAAAAAAATAAGTAGAAATACAGAAATAAAAAAGCCGTATATAAAAATCTGAAATGTTTTTCATATTTTATATGACGCCTAAAGGGAACTTTTTTTAAAAAACTTTTTTTTTTTGTGGGTTACTTTTATTTATTAAATATCATGTTCTTCACACTTAAACTATAAAATTCAATTCAACGTTAATATCGAAAAATAATTTTTAAATGAGCATATCTTTAGAATTTCCGGTACACAGTCTCGCGCGCTGGAGGTGTATTTTTTCTTTTTCTTTTCTTTTTTTTTTCCTTACAATGTTGCCATAGCTGGCTTTGAAATCGCTGAGTTTATTAATCAAATATTAGTTAACGTTTTACAAAATATGAAATAGATAATAACACAAATTCCAAATTAGGTCTTTCGGATGCCCATATTCGGTGGAGAATTACGTTATTCAAAATTGGATGGCTCTAGGTACCGTTGTTTTATCATAGTGCGAGAAACATGCATACATTTATGCAGATTCATCATTATTTAATTTCTTTAAATATAATGCAGGGCTCTAATACTTTGAAAAATGAATCAAAGCATAAAGTGAATCAGCGCAAAATGCCAAAACGAAATTAATTGTCCTTTTAGGCTAACGCTCTTTGGGCTAATAAAATAGAAAAAAATAAGTAGAAGCTATAAATAAAAGTTTTAAATAAAAGCTTTAAATTAGTTTACTTTTCTGTCGAGATTTTTTATGCGGGTTCGCATAAGACTGAAACATGCATGACTATAAACCGTATTTTTTGAATCGTTATTAGAGAAAGATTACAACGGTATCGTTCTTTCTGTTGTTAAATACATTGCTCTCTATTTAACTTAACTGGCATCGGGTACTTCCGCTAGTATTAAAATAAAGAGGACTTAATTCTTCAAACCTGTCACGTTAGAGCAACGAAAGATTGGAAATGAAAAAACATTCTTCTTGTTCGGTAGAAAATATTTTTAGGAATGCACGATGTTTTTCTCCCGAAGTTTATAGTTCGTTTCTATAGTTCGATCACGGACCTATGGGATATACCAAACAATGAAGATGATGTTATTAGTTTCCAAAAGAGTATAATATTGTTGCGTGCTTAAGGGTGCGTAACAGATTGAATGCGTAAGTTCGATAAAAGGTTAATAAAATTTATTCTTATCATAATAAATAATAAGAACTCTAGAGAACATTTTATAGCTTTCAATCGGTCGCGAGAAATTTTTGGTAATTTCTTTGCTTCTCGAGATTTCTGGAAACCGACGAGAGGATGGAATTACGGTTACAGCTAACACAGTAGTCAATTACCTTTATTCAATTTCAATAAAAATTAAAGAGCTATCCTTTTGTTCAACGTTAAATGCACGTGTTCCTGTATTTTTATTTTTCCGGCGTAGCTTTCTCTGAAAATTTATCTCGCGCTGCACTGCGCGGGGAAATTCAACAAATTTAATTAGAATTCTACTAAAAATATCTAACTAAATACAAAATTCATAACAATCTATTACGGAATAACCACCAATGTTCGAATATGCACGAAATAAAGTTGTATTCGAGTCAATCGAAAAGCGTATGGGATGTTGCAACAGCAAGATACGTACATTGCAATAGGATATCTTTCGAAGCAATTTTCAAACATCTTCAATCCAAAATATATATATATATATATAAGCTAATTATATCAAGTAACCGCCAAAGTTAGCCAGTCCTTCTCCGATAACACATAAGTACCAAAATCTAACTGTTGTCAAGTGAATTTTGAAGTTTACATTTAATTCATGAAATGTTTTTAAATTTTTCAGGGTGACAGCGGTGGACCTCTTTCATGCCCAGTCGGAGGAAAATGGTACGTGTTTGGAGCTGCCAGCTCGGTCACGACGTCTAACTTCATGACTGGTTTGTGTACGGGCCCAGGTGCTAAAACCATATATGCAAACATTGCTGATAAGGCAGAATGGATAAGAACCATGATTGATAGATACAGCTGAAAATGAATGTTCCTGGTGCTTTGTATAGGATTATTATCAATGATAAGCAACGAACTTCAGCAATAAAATCTTAGGGCGACTTCACTTGAGGGTGTTTTATTCATTTCAACGAACAATACATCTACTGAAGAAGCAGGTCATTTATACATGTTACCGGCAAAGTTTGAAATTCGGCATTCTATAGAATGCCTAGGCATTGTATATAATGCCTAAAACTAGACGGCAATGTAACAAACGATTTATATTTCCCACATTTTCCCAGGCATGCTATAGAATATCAAATACCAAACCGGGAAATTGGGAAATATATACAGGGTGTTTATAAAGTCCCTGACCCATTTTGATGTTTAATAACTCGTAACATAATAAAGATAGATTAAAATTAATAATATAAATGGTTGAAAGACTCAAAAAGTTTCATGACCCTTGTCAATGAACTTCCACGTGTCCCCCCCCCTTCGTCGCACAGAGAATATCAAGTCGATATTCAGTTTCACGCCAGGTACCGGCAAGCATGTCGGCATCCTAAGAGGCTATTGCGGTTGTCATTCTGGCTTTTAGGTCATCCATGTTCGACACTCTTCTCCTGTAAACGTTGTCCTTTATAAATCCCCAAAGGAAAAAGTCCATATATCAGGTGATCTGGGTGGCCAAGGAATTGGACCTCCTCGCCCAATCCATCTTCCTGTAAAATGGTCATTCAAAGAACTACGAACGATGGTACTCCAATGAGGTGGTGCACCATCTTGTTGCAAAAAGACATGTGGCTGAAGCTCTTCTAGTTGTGGAAATACGAAGTTTTCCCACATGTCTAAGTATACGACCGATAAGACCGTCTTTCTGTAAAAAAAAAAAAAAAAAAAAAAAAAAGAAAGGCCCAATGACTCGGTTGTGCATTAGTCCACACCACACATTAATCTTTGGGGAATCCCTGTGTGCCTCACGGTGCAATTAATAAGCAGACGTTATTTAGAAAAGTACAGATGTTTAGGCTGGAAAATGAAATTATCTGAAATTAACCACACGCGCAGACGATATTTACAAAAGTAAAGATATTCAAACCTGAAAAGGAAAATATATAAGTTATTCCAATCCATAAATGCCATAAGTTTGTTTCTATCTTTATTATTTTATGAATTATTAAACATCAAAATGGGTCCGGGACTTTATAAACACCCTGTATTTCCGATTCATTTCGAAGTACCGAAATCACTTATCAAAAGTTAATAAATGATGCAGAAAAGCCAAAATGACTACTGAGAAGGAACCACGGGAGTACTGGCAGCTGAATCGCTAGGATGTGATATTTGTATTAAACAAAAGTACATTCATTTATCCTGTTAAAAAAAGAAAGCGTTAGTACTGTGCAGTATTATGTCACGGACGCCGAGTTATTTCTCGTACTTCATGGAAACTCATTTGAGTACTGGCCCTGGACGACCTGACAGCATGTTGAAAAAACTTTCAAACAAATATAGAAACGTTACAGGTAATGATATTGAACTTTACAACCAGCTTTGTAAGCCGTGCCAGAAAAAACAAAATTTTATTTAAAAGGGCATTGTTGTGAAACTTACGACCTTTTCTGAATTAAATTTCCGTTGTCAGGTAGATCTTACCGATTCCCAGTGTCAGACAGATAGAAAATACAAATTAATTTTGTTGTATCAAGATCATATCCCTATTCTTTTTCATAAACAGTTTTTTAATGGCACTCTTTCATTAATTGGTCAAAATAATATTTGTATATTGGGGGAATGAACGTCTTTTAAATAAGTAGCCTTATCATAACCTTTTTTTTATACTTTGCTTAAAGAGAATTTGTCGGTCAATAGAATGCCTAGGTAATCTATACAATGCCTAGGGAAAGTGCGTAGTGATTCTCATATTTCCTACTTTGCTTAAAAACGACCGGCATTTTATACAATGCCTAGGCATTCTACAGAATGCCCGCGTTTCATACTTTGCATATACTAAGTAACATATATAAAAGGAACATATACAAAGGGAAGCATATTTTTTCAGGGGTAGTTCTAATATTTCTGAAATATTGGTTAATTAAATTGGTTATGGCCCGATAGTAGTAAATGTTCCTTCTCATGAGTTTTACGATTGGAACTTCCCCGAATGATGTAGTGTCCTATCTTTAGCACTGATCTGCAACATTAACGTTTTCTTTAAATGAATGTTGTTTTAGAGAATAACACGCGACAAACAAAATGAACAATAAGTTTTATTGAACCTTTGTAGAGAGACATTAGGTTATTTCGAAGCAGGAGGCAGGAAAAATGTGCTCTGCTCTAGCCGAGACTCGAACCACGACCCTCTCGAATGCGCTCCGAGCATGCTGACCCTTACACAACGAAGGCTTGCTGAGAAGGCGGGAGAAATACCTTATATACTCCCCCCTTTTAAAGGGCGAATGGGAATTAGGGGACCCAGTTGCCATGAGACTCGCCGGGACTCGAACCACGGAGCTCTCGAATACGTGTTGCGCTAAAATTAATCTTAGGAGATAATATAATCAATATTTCTTTAGTAACTAAATTATTATTAACTTACTTTACAGCAATTGCGCAAGTAGTAGAATAACTCTATTTCGCACTACGTGAATTTAAGATCATACAACATTTGATATACTTATATATATATATATATATATATATATATATATACGTTTGGTGCGGCCGATTGCCACCAAAAAGGAAGGTGCACAACTGCATCCTATAACTGTCTTATATACCAAATTTCAACTACTTGTTTTTGAGTTATGCGAGATACATACATACGTACAGACGCCACGAAAAAATCTCTTCTGAATCCATTTTAAATCAGTTTTATAATTTTTTGGGGAAAAAAAAGAGTCCTTTATTTTGTCCGTACGTACAGACTTCACGCAAAAACATCGTTCAATTCCATTCGATAGCGGCCAAAATAGATATTTTCGTCGAAATATGGTACCTGGAATTTTTCGTGATTACAATGCCTTCTTTACTTCGTACAAGGAAGTAAAAATGAATTCCAGACTAATTTAAATAAATTACAGACTCTTGAAAACCGAGTTAACACGCGCACAACCAGACACATCGAAACTGGAAAAGTCCAGACGAAAAAGTATATCTCCAACGTTTTGACTATAATTTTACAGTCTGCAAATTTCGTTAAATCACTAAAATCACCAACAGAAATTGTTTGCCTAAGAATTATTATCCAAACACATTTCACTAGCTTCTTGGGACAGCGAGGTAAACTAGGCGTTAAAACGAGCAGGTTCCAACGGAGAAAAATTCGCTGCAGATACCGCGTTCGTATCCATTTACACTCGCGCACAAAAACACTAAATCACCGTAGAAAAGCAGTTAAAAACTTTATCGCAGTAGAAAACCACACTCGCAAAAACAGAGAAGTAAAACGCTAACATAACTGAAACAGTAGGTGGCACCGTCGGACATCATTCCACGGAGTATCTTATAAGGTATTTCTCCCGCCTTCGTGGTGTAGTTGTCAGCACACTGAGCCGCAACACTGTGGTTTAGTAACAGGTTTTGAATAAAGCAGTAATGCACCCTCTAGTGGTGAATTTTGAAACTGCCCTGGTCAATTTCTTTTCTAATCACTCATTGAGTCACCTAAAATTTCTTAGCTTTCTGATCAATTTTTATGGTTGTAAGAAGCTGGGAACAGAACTTTAAGGTATCCGACCTCGTACAAAAGACGATTTTCGGTCAAAATTTCGATTTTTACTTTATTACATTATGTTAAAGAAGTTTTAGTCTTTAGCTATTAAAATACAAGTTTTTGCTTGTTGATAGGTTAATTAGAACTGAAGTTATAAGCATTTTTCTGTAACTGGAATAAACCGGAAGTTCCAATATTCTAGGCCGGAAGTGAGCGTTTAAATAGATATACCTATTTAGAAACTTTATTTATCATCAAGATTTTGTAAATTATAAACCTGCGTACTAAGTTTAGATATTTTGTAATACATTTTAAGAATCTAGTGTTAGTTTTTTCCCTTAATTTCGTATTTAGTTTGGCGCAGAGGGTATTCGACGTTGAATGTATGTGTTGCTGCTTTGTCGATTAGCGTTGACAAAGTGCTTGATTTGAAAGCTATGTCACATTTTTGCATCATTTGCAACAAAATAAACAGAATGGCATGCAATCTTCAGCACGACATATGTAAAGCGTAATATAATTGTTCTGCAAATTATAAAGAAGCAGCTTCGGGTATGGAAGCAGTTGGTGCTTATTCCCTGTTTGAATGATCTATTACATTACGAAAGCTGAAGTACACGGAGTATTACGAGGATGGGGATTCTAAGGGGTTTTTAATTGTGAAAAGATATATATGGTAAAGATTCGGTCAAGAAAGTGGAATGCATTGAACATGTACAGAAAAGGGTTGGTAGTAGGACTACGAAAAGTAAAAAACTCCGCTCCTGAATTGAAAGGAAAAGGTAAACTGACTGATTCTTTTATTGATAAACTGCAGAATTAGGGATTGCAATTAGAAGTCATGTTTGAAACTTAATTGAGATGCAGCAGGTTGTACTAACTGCTTGTTCCATTGTAGCTCTTCTTCGAAGCCAATGCCCTCCTCAATAATCAATGAATTGGTGCAACTATGAATGTGTGATTGCAGAAATCAGGAAAAAAATCAGAAAGAAAAAAATTAGGCAAAAACCTCTGGTATATCAATATATATTTTGAATTTAATTAAACCTACATATATGGAGTTGACTACATAAACAAGAGTTATTAAAAAGTGTCTACATGGCAAAACTCAAAATATCAAGGAACGTTTTAATGGCATTTTATTGCAAATTGTTCCGAAAGAAACATTCATAAACTTGCGAACATTAATGTTTGGAGCAAATGTAAGAGTTGTGTTATTTAATGACGGATTTATAGGTTTGCTTGAAGCATTTTCAAGGTTAGGTATGTGCCCTGAATTTTACACTGAGCAGGGAATTCGAAAACTTGATAAAGTGCAAAATCATGACTTTTGGTGGCATTCCACAAGTTTTACAAAAACCCAAAGAAAAAATTACGCTTTGTTCGAAAGAAAAGATGCAAAGTGT